CCGCCTAATCTTTTAATAGTCTCTCCGCCTCCCCACACGTCGTCCCTGCGGGGTACAGTAATTAAATCTCGGCTCCAACCTCCAACTACGTCTACTGGGGCTGGGTAGTTCTGTGAATATCTCTGGTGATATTATCTCCGTAGATAGTCGATTTGTTGCTGCTCTACGGGCCAATTCATTCCTTTTTCGTCTCTGTTTTGATAGATAATAAAACAGAAGAGCTTTTTTCCTTCGAACGCCTTCAGCCGCCATGCTTTCTTCACCACGAGTTTAACTGATGAGCATGCGCACTTAATATTTCTCAGGTAGCTTCCGCATGGCGAACGGAGTCGAGATTTAATTACTGTATCCCGCAGGGACGACGTGTGGGGAGGCGGAGAGACTATTAAAAGATTAGGCGGTTTTCTTTCATGTACGTCTGCCATTTTTAGGTCACCGGCTTTGTAAAGCCTGGCTCAATTTGTTGAGAATCCGCTCTAATTATCTGACCATTCCATACTTACTGCTTGCGGTGCATTGATAACCCCTGTATTGTAACCAAATGTAAATGAGCCTAAAATGGCAGACAAGACGGAAAGTGTCAGCCGCCAGGTCAAGGACTGAAAAAGAAAATATCAGCCAAACCCATTAACATATTATATTATTTACAAACTTATACTAAATGTATTACTTTGTCATTTTTCAAAAACAACTGAATAGTAAAAGACTAAGATAAAAAAAAGAATCAACAACATTTGATTATCATCTTTGATAACAAAAAATAAATAAATAAATAAATAAATTAATTAATTAATTAATTAATTAATTAATTAATTAATTAATTAATTAAAAAAAAAAAAAAAGAAAAACTGGCAGTTCAATGCTATTTGTATAAACCTGGGAAATCATGAGATGAAAATCAAAACAAGGCTAACAGAGGCTCACAAAAAGTATGCAAAATGCTAACAACAGTTTGCTCAGGAACAGGAAAAAAAACCCAATCACACTCATTCAATAATCAATCATTCATCTAATGAAAAATTGGTAATTTTGTTAAAAGAACAAAAAAGTTCACACTTCTGCAAACATGCCCCAGGTAAGCACACTCTCTTAGCACAGGGCCTGAACCTTGAGCTAAGCTCAGAGACCTGTATTAGACTATTTATAGCCTTTCCAAGAAACCTGCCACTGAGGCAAGCTTTACAAAAGAAGTGAAAGTTGATCTAAACTTACAATGCACAACACATTATTTGGCCAAAGTAAATATGATATTAAAAAATTTCCTTCCATTTTTTGCACAATTTCTAATTGACTTCAATCAAATACTTTGCTTCAAATCCAATTTTCCAGCTATTTGCTTCAATGATATTTTACTCTAGGTTGAGTCCAGTCAAACATTCTTTTAAGTTTCACTTTAGAGTTACTGTGCATTGACTGTCACATTGCCAAAATTCAAAAGGAATCAACTTAACCCGAGGCTTAAAAACTTTAAAAACCTGATCTTACTTCAGGATAAAATCCAATTTTCACAAAACAGCTGGAAATTTTTTAGCTCAATTTAGATTTTGAACCAAATTTATGTAGCTTTGGACTAAAAACTGAAATAGCTTGCCTTGCTTAGCTTTTAGTTTGACAGGGCCAGAAACCGATAGAGAAATATTTTTAAAGATGAACATTTTTTTTACTTTACAATGTTCTCATAAATTAAAAAAAAAGGTTTTCACTGAAAAAGAATAGACCTCCTTTCCCCATATAAAGATGAACTTACCCTGCTGCCAGGCTGAGGTGAACCCTCCATCATTCCTGCTGAACTAGTAGACCACTACACTTACTGGTGCTTGGACACTAAAATCTAAAAAAAAACAAACAAACAAACTGTTAATATTATAATAATTTTTATTATTTGAAAATAACAGACTTCATTAGTTAATAAAGATTCATTACAGGTAACCTTTTTTGGACAGAGTCAATCCCTGGGTCAACATTGAAAATTTACAATCTAGACAGATTTAAGAGTCTTGTCAATATCTGAAGATCTTTCTTGAGCTACCTTCATTTTGGTGAAGCATAGATATAGGCACCCATGTGTGAAACAACATGAAAACAGCTAATGCAATACATTACTCAGCAATGTATTTATGTATCACATTATGTAGACAGATAGAAAGATTGTGAGAAAGGTACCATTAGATTTAATCTGTCAAATCCGTAAAAAAAATTTTGCTATTGAATTCATGTATAATGTGATTGTCAAAACTTCTTGTGGCATAACAATACAAGACCTTTAAAGAATAAAACATCAATTGTGAACAACACTGTATGACACTTGCTCACAAGGTATGTTACTAAAACAAATGCAAAGTTTATAAATCAATGGGTGCATTCTTATTTTTCCCACATCTATAAAGAGAAGTTAGCATTTTTGTTCACATTTTTGACTGACATACTCAAAATAAGTAAACATAAAGGAAATATTCAACATACTCAATTTCACCATAACAGATTAAATATTTGTGTGAAAATAGTTCTCATTAACCAGTTGACTGTCTTTTTCTTTTCACTCTTAAAGACTTGGTCACAACTGAATTATACCTGATCTAAGTGCTCTAGATCTACAAGAATTCTACACAAGTCAGCCATCACAGAACATATGTCAGGTAACAACCATGTGCCAAAAAGGGACAATACCAAAGTGAAAACAATTATAACTGAACAAAAGTTTTAGGAGTTCATCTGAATAAGAATGAAACAACACACCAAATGCAAGGATATAGATGACAGAGCACACTAACTGTCCCATGCGCCTGCGGATATTCTCAAACCCAGCATCATTTAACTTGTATATCAAGATGCAGAAGACTTTTTTGGTTGGCTATAGAGTTTTGGACCATTTATTTCACTAATGCTGAATGCAATCGAGAATTTACTTGCCACAGTTGCATTTATAAATACTGTTGCGCAAATCACAGTTGCATCTATAAATACAAGATGGGGACATTAGATACAATCCCATTTATTCCGCAAAATAATAAGTAGGGAGTCTCTCAGGCACGGTTATAACAGGCAAAATACTGTTACATAAATCATATCATAATGAATATGACAGAGATTGTGGTCAGTAATCTATCAATCTTTTACTGCCTATATTCCAACCAGGTGATTCTTTTTTCACCTGGCTCATATGAACTACCTTAGTCTGAGGTAAAACTTCAAGGAGACAAACTGCTGGGTTATATGAGCAAACTCAAGATTTTGAACAAAACCAATATTTTTGACAGAAAAGAAAAAAATCTTCACTTGCTTCAGCAAAATAGTAATACTTTCTGTTTAAGAACCTTGGCTTTAACTTACAATGAGATCACTAAATCTTTAAGCCTAGCAGGAAATAGGATCTTTGCTTTAATGATCAACAATAATTTATGGTTTGCATGCAGAAAGGAAATCTCACAATTTTTTCAATTCAATTTATTTCTGTACTGGTACATAGATTGTCATGACCTTGTACAATATGATATACTAATGACGATACAATACAATTAGTGCATTACCATTTCTCTAGTTGGTATTATGTTGCCTATCCATTTGTGAATGAAAAAATAATCTTAATATAATGAACATACATACATTTAACATTAACTGTTGACAGACCAGCAGTTATTCACCTGAACTGACAATGATCTGATCTTCTGTCAGTGTAAGACCCCATTTTCATACCTATATTGATCCAGCAGAACCCACTCATCTCTGGGGGGATACTCACTAAATTGCATTCAGATTAAGTGACTTAGATGTCTGGCACGCCTACTGAAGCTGTTAGAAGACAGTTTATTACCTTCTAACAGCTTTATTAGGTGTACCAGACATCAGAGCTGCTTGAACTGAATGTAATTTAGTGGGAACCCCCTCAGAAATGGGTCGATCCTGCTAAATCGATCTAGGTATGAGAATAGCATCTAAATGGCTGGCATTACAACCAAGGTCCATAAACCCATGTCCCACTATACATGAGGAACCTACCACATGGCACCCAACAGACCAAACATATGACACAATATTTTTAGGCCCTGGGCTCTGGTTTAAAAAACGTCTACCCAGTAAAAACTTAAAAAGTTACAGACTGGTCTCACCTTAAAAACTGAAAATCAATGTCTACTCCAAGCCAGCAAAATTGCAGCAGTAAACTGAAGTTGAGCAGTCTTTGGTCTAATCTCAAGACCTTTTAGAAAAAGGGGTCTGCTTTCTCCAATTTAAGGGCTCCGTGTGAACAAATTATGTTGGTCTTCAACTAACCAGTATATGCCTAAGTCATCACAACAATTGTTTATACTTACAGAGCTTACTGTCAGAATAACTATCAGGTTATTAGCATCACAAATATCAACTGTCAGATGTTTTAATGGTACGTGTGCTAAACGCAAACACTACATGATGACAGTGCAGAAATTTTCAGGTACATAAAAGAAACCCATGCGGTGGTAAACATACCTTAGCAGTTCAAGGTTCTGCACAATAATGAAAGTGTATTTTACATTAAGCAGGGGCTAATGACATTACTGCATGTTCTTGAAATCATTTTGAATTTTTATTCATTATCACCACAGGTTTTTAAGTTCATGTAAGTGAAACTCAGCATTTCGAGAATGTTTTGACAAGCTTTTTATTGGCTTAAAGGCAAATTTCTCTTTGTCTGTGAAACATATTTTTTATTCACCCTCCAATACTAGACACAGATTTTAAAATCTTTAAATTAAGGAAAAATTCCCATAACTGCACTGCAGGTTGGGGTTTTTCAAAATGGCAATGTAATGTTTGTTTTGTGTTGAATATATATTCACCTCAGATACACCTCCAGTAATTATGTCAAGCACACTTCTTGAGGCTAGATAACGATTAATGATAAAAAAAAAACTGAGGACAAGAGTACGAGAAAAGAGTACAAGAAAATGTCAATATTTGGTAAACATCTGTCATTAAGTTCACAGTTAAATTACAATTTCTAGAAAAAAAAAACTTGGTAAATGTCTATTTTGTTTAAAGGCAATAAGAAATGTTTTGGTAATGTTTAACCTATTTGTTTTGCATTCATTGCAATGTAACACATTAAGAAAAAAAATTTTGGGATAAGTTTTTACAACTGTTTTTCATTGGATGGCTAACTACGCAGTGGACCCTGCAATTCTGATCTCAAAGAAGACCTCACAATTTTAAATGTATTTGACATATAATACCTAAATGTCTTGATCGAGCTACTACCTGGCATCATTAAAATCAAAAACCCTCTTTGAGACAGCCACAATCGAGGGGCTTGCAGTTGACAAAAAAGGTAAGAAAACCTCTCAGATTCCTTGTGAAATTTAACAATTTAAATAAACTTAAAATTTCAACCCTAAAACTGACTTCAGACCTTTTGTGCAACAGGTCACTGGTCAATCTTGTCACACTTTACTGGTTTGAAGTTTGAACTCATCTATAATCTGTGCACACACATACAATGACATATCAGGTATCTTATTATGCTTGGACCTTCTTTTAACCTGCACAAAATGCATTAATCTTAATTCAATTTAAAATGGTAGGTCATTCCGACTTTGTTGCTTTTGTCACAATAACCCAGTTTCAACGTAGCATCATACAGATTACCCAGTTATTTTTAGTCCTTCAACCACAGAGGGTGACAAATGGTCATATACCCATGCTTCATCACAACGTACATACCCAACAGGCAGGTGGCTCATTTGGCTGAGTACCCACAATGTGGTAACAATGCAAACAGTGCATGTATTTTTTCATAAATTTCTTCAAATCTTTTCTTTATTTGTTTAAAGAGAAATATACCTGTTCTAAATCAGTTTTATCTCATGTTATTATCTCAAATGGAACCTTGGCATTCCTGCACGTCTTCCAGTGGAATGCAATAAGTAATTACAAAGACGGATCATCTGTGCTTCAGTTTCCAGCACAGGTACATCCCTTTTATTTCTGTTATTTATATGTTATTTTTTATTATTATTTAGATTCTATTTTTATTATTGGAAAAAAGGGGGTGCTTTCACATTAAAATTATTGTACTAGGTAGATGGATCCAACTCCACAGGGACTCTCACTGAATGCAATCAGATGGACTAAATGACACGCCTCCTTGTCTCCAATGTACTTGTATAATCAACAGCTTTTCTGTATTCTACACAATACCAGGTGGAGGAGGCAAGTTAATCTTTTAATCCTGATAACATGTACATAAATGACTTAGGCGTAAAAGTGCAAGGATTAAGGGTGCATTCCCATTGCAAATTTCGAATAAGGTAGATTGATCCAACTCTGCAGGAACTCTTGCTGCATGCAATTCAATTTACTGAATGACAAGCCTCCTTTTGTTTCCATTGTACTGGTGTAATATATTCTTCTCAACACCAGGGGGAAAATGTGCTTATCTTTTAATTTGATTGCATACAGCGAGAGTCCCAGTAGAGTTGGAGCGATCTACCTAGTATGATAATTTCATTGTGGGCTGACCCAAGGTTTGTGCTCAACTTCAATCTGATAGCTGCATTACATAAAGTTGGTTTTGTAACAATGACTTTAAGACATTTTACAAATGACTACCCTACAAATTATGCTATACTTCTAGGGACTTAATCAAAATTAAAATCATTTCCAAAACAATCACGTACTGGTACTATTTGTTCTAAGAGCTTAATTAAGAAACTGGGCACTAGACCTCTTGCTGAAATGCTAAACTGTAGGGCCGAATTCTTACCAGTCTTTGCTTTGACTGATGTTCTATTTTAATCATTTTATGAAACAGGATGTACCATTAACTAGATTAACTAGTGCCTTATGTTTATGCTATCAGCAATAATCACATTAACACATTAGCACTAACAGTTATATATATACATAATTTATAGACTGTTTACGCAGGCCTGTAGCCAGGAATGGTTGGGAAAGAACCCCCCTTTTTGCCGGGAAAAGGTCCCCTCTGGATAAGATTTTATGTAGGTACATGAAGGTTTCTTGGTAAAAGGTCCAGTTTTTAGGAAAAAGCCCCCCACTATTTTTTGAAATTGCTACTTGTAGCTACGGGCCTGTTACGTAACCACACGTCAGATATCTCGCTTATCTTTTAAAATTAAGATACCAGCACTCGCTTCTAGAAACGTAGCTATGCATTGTCCTTGGGTCAATATTATTTGTCAATAATAGAGGTGAAAATGCCAGAATATACGTGTACATTTAATCCGCACTCACTAATAAAAACGCCTTGGCAACAGAAACTAACAGCCCTTAGGATATTTCGATAATCTTATATAAAATTATTGCGTCAGAAAGTAGGTTAAAAGAAGCAGCACTGATGTAATATCACTGCAGGCACTGTACCGCATCAACGTTTACCGTTAGTAGCCGCGTTAACAATCAGAGACAAGACCTCGCTCGTAACTCGAATATAGATCTTTTCGGGATTTTTCCACTCACTAACAATCACTGATCGAATTAGCAATAAAAGCCGGTGCCGGTTGTGGGGCGGTCTCATGGCTTAACATTCAGAGATACAAATCTGCACAGCTCGCCAACTTACCTTTTCTCCGGTTATCTGTGCCTTAATCATTTAAACATCTGTTATACACGTGAAATGCGTTACATGAAATGCTCCTTTGCAAGACATGCGTCACATGTGTCTTCGTGAACTAAAGAGGTTAGTGTTGCGAAGTTACCCATAATTTGCCTTTAGTTTTACACTCTTCGTTTCTGTTACGTAACATTATATTCCTCCAAATAATTTTTAAATAATCCCAGTATAATATTAAAATAGGCAATTAGAATATTTTATATGACATCAGTTAAAATTTTCTGTTCATTTTTTAAAAAGAGATAAAGCGAAACTTTTTATGGTGGTGCAGTTAGCTCTGCTCTAAAGGAAAACAAACACAAGGGACGAGATCGTTACGACATCGGATTTTATTTCCCGTTGAAATGTGTCATTTATAATGAAATGTATGTAAATTTTGAAAGATAATTATATTTTTAGATTTAAAATCTTACTGCTGACAAATATATTCATAAGCTGGATATTGATAAGTAGTGTTTTTTTTACATCGGTCTTGCCGGTCGGCATTAATTTACTTGTACTGAGTACGTACGTACATGTACAGTATATGTTCTGCCAAATTCTGTACGTCCATTAACATAATATATGTGCCCAGTACGTCTTGTATTTACTTATAACTGCAAAATAAGATTGGACTTCATTCGAGTCTATACTTTAAAAGGGGGATCAAAATAATTAAATGAAGTTCAAAACACAAGTTTGAGAGATATCAAAACAAGGTACCATGGTAGTCAACATGTATAATCTTGATAATTTGTTCAGAGTGAAACTGGTAATTTGCAAGACCGTGTATGTGGCGAACGTATAACATTGAAATCTTTCTTTTGCCCCAACTTGGCTTTTACTAACTGATTTTGGTTATTTCTAGGTTAATTTATTTTATTTACCAGATAGATATCTTTTGTAATGGAATTTTGCTGGACAGATGTGAAATTTGCTGCTTTTCAGTTTGTTAACCACCAGACACTTTTTTTTGGCAGATATACTCATACTGTACCTGTTTCAGCATGGCACATAGACTAGGCTTCCTTAGAGTTCTATAACTATGAAGCCAGTGAGTGTTGTATCTTAAATACACAACCATAATACATACACCTGTTTAGCCATAAATACATGTACAATACTGATAGCACATGTGCACACATGTATGTTTGTGTACCAGTAGACAAGTGCTAGCATAAAGTATCATAGGGAATTGTATCATAATGTGTGTATTTGTATATATATCTTCAGCAGAACTCAGGAATGACTGCCAAATACACCCGTATACCCATGTCTGAAAATGAAGGCCTAAAAATAGATTTCTCATCGGCTTTCCAATATGGTGGCATGCCTGGTCAGCATGCAACATCATCTAATGGTGGCTCATCCAGGTATTTCTCATATGAAGGAAATGACAGGGACCATAATAGAAGAGAGCCTGATGATGTAGCAGGTAGAGGTTCTTTCATGGGATTTTTAAGTCTTATGTAAAACCTAATGACATTTTGGTGACAGTTTACACTTTTATCATGCTGGAATTATGTATGGTTTCCCAAATATGCTATACCGGAATGCATGCTTAAAGTATTTTACATCTGTTCCTAGCTGTGTGCTTTGTTAAAAAAAAAAATGACAGTATCCCCCCCCCCCCCCCCCCAAAGTATAACTTATGTTCTAGGATTCTGTTTAGGCAGAGGGATCTTTTAGAGAAAGTAGAGGGACATAGATATATGGCAACAATATTTACTTTAACATAAAGTTCATTTGCTAATTTTTGCATTCATGAAATTTTATGAATAAAAGTAAATATTATTTTCAGGCCCCACAACGTTGACCAGGTGTTACAGTAATTTTGTTGAAGTCCTGTGTTATATACTGGTTTGTATAACAATACCTGTGTCAGGATGGTTTGTATTCAAGGTAAGTCCTATGTTATATACTGGTTTGTATAACAATACCTGTGTCAGGATGGTTTGTATTCAAGGTAAGTCCTATGTTATATACTGGTTTGTATAACAATACCTGTGTCAGGATGGTTTGTATTCAAGGTAAGTCCTGTGTTATATACTGGTTTGTATAACAGTACTTATATAGTTTATCTGTTCACAATAATATCTAAATAAATAATTTTTCATATAGCCAGTAGACTCTAATATAAGTTGGTCCTCAGTTTTTACCTCTTTCCACAGTTACTGCATATCCCATCATGGCATTCCTTAAAATAATTAGCAGGTACATGTAATAAAATTAAATTTACATTGATTCCAGCATTTTGAATAGTTGTCATATAACTCATATTTGCATTACTTTATTCAGGTCTGTAAACAGTTTGAACGTGTGGTCATCTTTAGGCTGGGAAGAAGACGAGGGGTCAAGGGACCAGGTGAGGAAAAAAAATCTTGGTAGGGGCACCCCTTAAAAGTAGGGTGCATGTCCCTGAAAATAGTCTGAGGATCTTGGAAAATATTTCAAATGATGATTTTTGCCTGATTTTGCATAAACTGCAGTGAGAATCGTCCAAGAGAGCCCAAAATCTCACAACTAAGCATAAAATCATGTGAGATTTTGATTGATTTGAAGGGGAATATGGTTTTGGTTATGATGAAAGACTTACAATGTAACTGGCAAGTGCAGTGCAACAATGAAGAAATTCTGATAGAATTTATCCACACATATTTTTCTGGTAGTGTTTTTCTTAAGATCAGTGGAATTACAGTCTATTACACTATGATGCATATTAGTGCATTATGTTTTGCATTTGTATCACTTTGTAAGTCATTATTCTTGGGGTATTAAGTTTCACCCTTTTCACTGAAAAATGAACTCCACCTCTTGTAGACTCAACACGTTTTCTAGTCTCATTTGACATCATGCTGTGCAGATACCCTAGTTCAAAATGGAAATCTCGGGTGATTTCCATACAGTTATGTCCGACATTTCATCACAGATCTCATTGGCATTCCATTGGATATGACTTTTTTAACAGAGGGGCCATAGCGATAGTCCGAAGGTTCAATAGTCCGAAGGTTCATTGGTCCGAATGTTCACTATAGAACCTTCGGACCAATGAACCCTTGATGAAAAAATCGATGAAAATGTTACCACTTTTCGGACCAATGAACCTTCGGACCAATGAACCTTCGGACTATCGAGATGCCCCCTTAACAGAAAGGTGTGCTTGGAAGATTAAGCTTTAGTTTTAATCATTTTACGCACAATCTTAATTATTTCATTGCTTTTCAGGTGTTACAATGGTGCTCCCCTGCTTGGACAGGTATACAGTTGTAGATATGAGAACCAAGGCATTCAGTGTGCCTCCTATTCAGGTGAGCTCTTTAGAAATGGAGATTGCATTGACACAGTTGTTAGCTAGTTCATCATGTTTAGAAAATATGTAACAATAAACAAGTGCCTGATGCAATGTATGGACATTATATACCTTTAAATTTACACTTGTCAAGAGCGGAAACATTCTTTATGGAGTGAAAATAATGCTTTTTACTTAAAAATTATTTAATACTATATGTATTAAATGTGGTACATGTACATGCAGGTATACAACATTGAGCATGTGCACTGTGTGTGCCCGACAGAAAAACAGTCAATTGTATCAAACTCCAGACTGTGTAAAATTGTATTTCCTGAAAGTGTAGTCTTGTTTCCTTAATAATAAGGCTCTCTGCATGGTAAATGTTAAATATCTATGTTAAGGGTACCCTAATTTTGCAAAGAAAAGTGTAATCTTTTTACTGTTTGTTGCTAGATTTAGCATAAAGTTTCAAAATTTGATTTGGTTACAATTATTCTGCTATTTAGTAGAAATATATATATTTTTTTTATTCTAGAATGAGCCCAGGCTGTTTTTCTTACTTTGAACAGGAGGCTCAAGACTCTGTACTCAGTCACTAATTTTGATTACCTTTCATGTAGGTCTTCACCTCGGACAATGGAGTGATAGAGACAGGAGCTGATGTCCACTACAGGGTCACTGACCCTGTCCATTTTGTCACCAGTGTCCAGGACCCCAACCATGCCCTCAGGGAACTGACCAAGACCAGCCTGCGGAACCAGTTAACTAAGCTAGAATTAACAGATATACAAAATACCAAGATTAGTATATGTACTGCAACACAGGTGAGGAATGCTGGCACATCTAATGCAATGCCCTTTTTTTTAAATTAATTAATTTATTTATGTGGTAGTGTGTGACATCAGGTTTGAATAAATGAAGAGTGCTCGCTATGACTTAAAATGCAACATCTCACCAACTGCATTGACAGTGTGCAGGACAACATAAGGATTAGATAGGCACTTAGTAATGAAATCATATGATCCCATTTTCTGCCGAGATGGTGTGTGTGTACTGTATTAAGCATTTAGTAATTTTTTTTAGCTCAAGCTAGTACATTTTTAACTGTGGTCTAAAAACTAAAGTGCTTTATAATTGTTTCTTTATTTCAGGCAGATGTCAACAAGACATGCTCTCTATGGGGTTTGGAAGTAGGCAGGATTGAAATGTAAGATAAATGTATACAAAACCTAATGCATTAGCAAAGGGCTGTTCACAATGAGTTACTGTGCACTTACTTGTGTGCTCTAACTCCATGGGAACTCTTGCTGAATGCAATCACATTAACAGACTTAAACACCTTCTCTTGTTTCTTATGTACTTGTATTTATCAGCTTTTCTGTATTCTTAAGAATACAGTTCTTGAGAATGGAAGTATATTGAGTATATAGATAATACTGGCATTTTGTCTCTTTTAAACAAAGCACACTTAAAATGATATGTGAACTGAGTAACTACATATATCTTGGGTGTTCCAAATGTGCCCATAAAATGTAGCACAGATGCTGAGCTTACTTATACCTAGATTTCAGTGTGCTTTGATTGAAAGGCTCAACAAATTGGGGCAGAAGCAAGGTTTTTGTTTATTTTGTTTTGGAATTTTGGCAAAGTAAGGAAAATTAATGATCATTAAATGAGAATGCTATTTTCTTTATTATTTACATGTTTTTTTTCTCATTGAAGGTCTGCTGTGAAAATAATATCCATGCCAGAGCCTGCTAATCCACTGAACAAACTTCTAGGTGGCAGCATAGGTTCAGGTCTCCCAGCAGGAATTATGGGAGCATTCCAACAGATAGCAGCACATGCTTCATCAACAGGGCCAGTCCAAGGTGGGAGACTTTCTTATGGTGTCAATAAATCATTGTTTTTTTTTTTTCTATTTGGATATTTTGTTATATTGAGAACACTTTTTAAAATAGTTTAAAATATTTTATAAGCTTTTGGGCTTATTTTATGGTTTATTTACTGACCATTTCAGCCTCTCCCACAGTTCCTTCCATACCAGCTCCTTCTCCAGTGGCATCAGCATCCACCCGGACACTGACAACACCCCAGGACATCATAGAGGCTGTCAGACCCCTACTGAGTGAGGGGCTAGTAAGGAATTTTGGAACTGTGTATGAATTTATACTGAAGATTGATGAGGATGCCAAAGATTTTTTCTTCTTGGATTTAAAAACTGGTAAGACAGAGAACAATGCTTTGCAATTGTTTTGTATATAACATGACAGTATATGGATAGTAGAAGGGGGAATTAAGTGTCAATTATTTTATAATCCACAAGATATAAACCAAATTTACTTAAATATAACATAAATGTTTTTGTTTACTTGTATTTGTAATGATGCCTGTGTATGAACATACTGCATACCAGCATAGGGACTGTCAATATAAATTTTACTGCCAGAAAAATTATGTTTAACACAGCATTTATCTTACTGTTTTTCTGCAGGTAATGGCAGTGTGGGAAAGGGAAAGCCTCCTTCTGGACCGGCAGATGTGACCTTCACCTTGGACCAGGACACCCTGCATAGCCTGATGACTGGCAGGATGGGAGCCATGCAGGCTTATATTACAGGACAGCTCTCTGTCACTGGGGACACCAATGCAGCCATGAAGCTAGAGGTTCTGATAGACAAGCTTAAGTTATAAAGTTGCTAGCTGATATCCTCCCCTCCCCCCTTCTCCAATTAACACAAACATTTTAATCAGGATCGATTTAGATGAATAATTTTAATTTGCAAAAAACTGCTGATGAAAAATTCTTTTTTGAAAGTTACTATTGGTAAAATACAGCCTTTTATTATCTTTTCATTGAAGCTGAGAAATAACTTGTTTTTGAGTGGACTTACCGCGGTATACTAGTACTACTGATTGATCATGGGACAAAGTAGAATTACGTGGAAGCTAGAACTCATCAAAGGTGCCTTACATTTAAAATAAGATTATATGAGAATCTTTTGGTCTTGAGACAATTTATACCAGTTTATAACATGATATTATCCTTTCATAGGTTAAGGAAAGTGATAATAAAAGGGTTAATTCATACACATATAACACCCTTCTATCCCAGTCCTTTTTCTTTTTAACTGTTTTTCATGTCTTACATGAATTCTGCATCAGTTTTGTGACCTGTTGTATTGCTCTACTTTCTAGGGTCAAAATGGTATTTAGATTTTGTTTCCAGTCTTATATATAGGCATATATATATATATATATATATATATATATAATATCCTATGTCATTACATATATGTCTGTGGTCTCAAAACTCTCTCTGCTAAATTACAATACAAAATTAATTGTGTTAATGTTTCTATTAAACGTATATGAAAATATATTAATTTGATTCTTTTAATGTGAATTTATACTTGTATATGTACTGTATGTGTGTAATAAACAAGACTGAATATAATATTATACATGTATATTGGCCTAAAATATTTGGTTATGTCTTAAAATACCGGCTGTAGGATGTACACATGTACAGTCTAAAGTGAGGAGATCTGGTTCACAGTGTTGCAATAAGAAATATAAGGCCCTATAAAGTGTCAAATATTTTTAAAATATTAACAGGCAAATGTGTTCACATGAAATGGGATGGAAATATGTCTATAAAAACATGCACAGGAGTTGGATTTTACTGATTTCAGTCTTCTGTTATGTATCCCCAATCCGTTTTGAACTTTTTAACTCATGGATGTGACGATATACTAAAGAACCGGTAGTCGATCACTGTGGCAACGATAATTGACTTTAAAAGTTGCCTGTCCCCCACGGGGCCGTCTCGATAGTCCGAACGTTCATTAGTCCGAAAAATCGTAACATTTTCACCAGCTTTTTGATCAAAGGTTCGTTGCTCCGAAGGTTCTATAGTGAACATTAGGACTATTGAACATTCGGACTATTGCTACCCCCCCCC